GCTCAGTAGGGTTAGCTACCTTTGCTCATGTTATTGTTTGGTTTCTCTAACTTTGTAGTTAAATGCTGCTTTCTTTCTCCATAAAACCTCTTACACATGGGCTAAAATAGAAGTACCCCCAGGACAGAGTATGTTTGTTTCTCTGGGAGCTATTTCCTTGTGGTAGTATCTTAATCTTTTCTTCTTCTTTTTCTCTTTTTTGAGACAGAGTCTCACTTTATCGCCCTCGGTAGAGTGCTGTGGCATCACAGCTCACAGTAACCTCCAACTCCTGGGTTTAGATGATTCTCTTACCTCAGCCTCCTGAGTAGCTGGGACTACAGGCGCCTGCCACAACGCCTAGCTAGTTTTTTGTTGCAATTCAGCCGGGGCCAGGTTCAAACCCGCCACACTTAGTATATGGGGCCAGCGCCCTACCCACTGAGCCACAGGCACCACCATTAATCACTTTTCTTACTATAAAATTATGCTTATTTTATTTATTAGTGTATTTGAATACATTAGAATGGCTAAAATATTATAATCTCAATTATGCTTAAAATTATATTTGAAACTTTTTTCTGTGGTATTTTATTCAACTGGATTTTTTCAAGTATTCCAAACTGAATAAACATTTGGTAATATTTAGATACTAAGTTTTGTTTATTTTCTAGGTTAAGTACTATGGAAATAAATTATAACATAAAATTTTACATTGGGTAGGAGGTGTTCCAAAAACATGAACTTAGTGTTAATGAAGACTTCTGCAGCCAGTATTTCAAGAACATTGACTGTTGGACAACAAAAAATGAAAACTTAGATTGCAACCGTGATTTACAGGTGTTTCCCTCATTGAATGTGAGTACCCATCTTGTCATGTTAAAATAGTTTATTTTATTCCCAGTAAGGACAGGTATCAATGAAAATAATGTTTTATCAACATTTTAATACAGGTACTTAATTTGTTTATTTTTAGATTTAGTGTTGTGTTTGCATGGTCGTTTATAATAATTAAGATTTTGACACCTTTGTTCTATTTCTTTGCCCCCATTGTAACAACATTCTTACAAGAATCTTTTATTTATTTATTTACTGTCGTTGCTTGCGTCATAGCTCGCAGCAACCTCAGACTGCTGGGCTCAAGTGATCTTCCTGCCTCAGCCTCCCAAATAGCTGGGGCGTGTGCTGCCCCACCCAGCTAGTTTTTCTGTCTTTAGTAGAGACAGGGTCTCTCTCTGGCTCAGGCTGGTTTCAAACTCCTGATCTTCGGCAGTCCGCTTGCCTTGGCCTCCCAGAGTGCTGGATTACAGGCATGAGCCACCGGGCCTGACCTACAAGAATCTTTTATGATTTGCTATTTGTAGTTGATGTCTTTCATCCACTGCAGTCAGATGTTCGCCTCCATCCTCCCATCCAAACAGCTATAGTCAGAATCACCAGTGACCTTCATGTTGTTCAACCCAATCACCTGTTACTCTTACCAAAGGGCTTGACTTAGCAGCATTTAACACACCTGAGCCCTCCCTTCTCCTTCATGCCCTTTCTTCTTTTCAATGTGAGAGAGTAAGTTCTAAATGGTAGCAACAGTCATCCCTAGGTAGTGAGGTTATGGGGCATTTTAACTTAGTTTTTGTTCTTCTGAAATTCCAAAATGAAAATATATCTTTAATAAAAGGTTTAAAGGAAACTTTAAAAAACATATATTTAAATGTAATAAACATATAGGAAAATAAATGTAAGTGTATACCTCAATGGATTTTAAAAATTGAGCATAACTACGTAAACCCAGATCAATTGTAGAGTATTTTAGCACCTAGAGTCACCTTTTGGTTCCTGGCAGTCTCCACACCAATTGCAACCACTATCTTCATTAAGGAAATAATTTTTCAAAAGCAGAATTTTGTTACTCGTGTTTGGCATGTAATGAGATTTATTCTCTAATGTCCAGCTTACAATTCTTAATTTTTTCTAACACGTTTTAAAAATGATTAAAACCATTTTTTTCCATAGAAGTGTAGCAGTATAAAATGGAATTATTTACTCTTTTTTCTAGAATAAAGAACTGGTAACAAATAGCAGAAATGTTTCAAATCAGCAAGGATCGTTGGTAAGCCATTTTATTTGTCTTTAATCAACCATACAATGCTCAAGTTGTAGTAAGACTGAAAAAAATCTGATGGATAGAAACTTAGAAAGTAATGTACAGTAAAATTATTAAATTGCAAAACAAAAAAACATTCTTTAAAACAATATGTTTTCTTACATGTCTGTATGAATTTTGTTTATATACTACTGTCTTTGTTTAAAAATCTCTTTACAGTTGTAAGATTATGTTCAGCCTTTCTTTAAAAAATAAAATTCTGCTTCTACATGTGCAAGACAGTGGGTTGTTATAGTCATGAAGGTAGCAAGGAGGAGGGAAATTTTGGTATTTGGGGGAGTCACTGAAGTCAGAGGACAAAGAGGTTGAGAGGGTTAGAACTGGGTATGGGTAGGAACTGAAAGCAGGTTTGGGAGAGCTTAATGTTTGCTTTTTTACTGTAACTCTTCACATTTTCTCTTCAGCCATCTTAAAGAAGAGTCTGATAATGTGGAATGGTATTTGCTCTGCAGTAGCTGGGAAAAACTGTAAAATCTGTTGCAGGTGGAGGAGTAGGAAATGAAGAGATAGGAAATGTTCTAGAAGGTGGACTATGTAAAGTTTTGTCAGTTATGTGAGGGCATTGGAGGATTCATAGGCATTATAGGGGGCAGTTTTATTCCTTAGTGGGGCAGCTAGTAAAATAGTGCCTTAAGGAATTTGAATCATGTAGCCTGTGTCTTTGATCTGAATCATTTCTGACAATGTTATCTGACTTTTTGATCCCTCAATTCAATTTTTTAAAACCACATACATTTAATTTTTTTAAAAAAAAGTTTTTAAGAGAGTTTAAAAACTCCTCTTGCCCAGGCTAGAGTGCTGTGGCTTCAGCCTAACTCACAGTAACATCAAAGTTCTAGGTTCAAGCAATCCTCCTGTCTCAGCCTTCTAAGTAGCTGGGACTATAGGTACCTGCCATAATACCCAGCTAATTTTTCTATTTTTGGTAGAGACGGGTCTTATTCTTGCTTACTCTGGTCTTGAACTACTGAGTTTAAGCTATCCTCCCATCTTGGCCTCACAGATTGCTAGGATTATAGATGTGAACCACTGCACCCAGCCACATTTTATTATAGTT